CACTCACAGACAGGATGGAGGAAGCGCCCCCACAGTTGGAATTGCTGCCATGGACCCATATTCCAGGCAACCCCCAGGAAGAGAGGGTCCTTTTCACCACTCCTGGAGGCCATTCCCTCCTCTGATTACCCCAAGCCCCTGAATGTTTCTGTAGAAGGGAAATGACTGGGTCAGGAGCTCAAGGTTTGGGGTAGGCAGGGATTAGAAGCTTCAACTATGGCTTGGGACTAGCTTTCACTCCCCAGCAACATGAAGTGTGCAAGTGCACAAGAGTGGTACAGACTGGATTGGAAGAAGGCTTCACCTTGTCCTGGGGTTGGGATCCATGAGTATGTTCTGTTAGCCAAGGAAAGAGCTGAGGGTGAGTTCCCCCATCATAGAGCCTCGGTTTCCCCATGTGCCACGTGTGGGTTTGTCCTGTGGAAACAGGCCACATGGCTGGGGGAAGGATGGTTTCTTGGGCTGCCTTTTCCCATTTCCTTCAGGGCTGTGCTTCTCTCATCAGGCTCTGAACAGGAGAGCCCCTTAATAACAAGGATAATAATAGCAGCTACCAGTTACTATGCATCAGCTGTGTGCCAGGGTTCCCCCGGCTAACCGCTTGCGGTGTTGCTATGTTTGTTCCTCTTCATGGCTATCTGCCCAAAGTCATGCAGCTATGGTGGCAGCAGTGGTGGAGCTGGGCCTGGGTCCTGGTACTCTGCATTCCAGAGACTGTGTTTGTGGTCATTATGCCCTGCTGCCCCCTCTGTCTCTTCTTCTAAATTGGGAGGGAGGGCTCTGAGCTCTGATGTTGGGGTACTGACTGTGCCTCCCCCCAGGATTGACCCACAACCCCATGATTTGTTCCTCCCCAGGCCTTGTACAGCTCCATCAAGAATGAAAAGTTGCAGTGGGCCATGTGAGTCCTGGGGCCGTGAGGTGGGGTTAGGGATGGGGTATGAGGAAGGGGCTGCCTGGGGAGGCCAAGAGAGCTGGGCTGGGCCCTGACAGTCGGGCTGTGGGTGCAAGTGAAGGTGGGTGAGAGGCTCTGAGAGGCATGAGGCTGCCTCACTTCCTTCTTTGGAGATGCCTGCCTGGACTTGGGGTCTGTCTTGTTTCTGGCTGGATTGTTATGACAAGCTGGGTTGGGGCAGGGAGGAGGAATGCTGAGACATAGGAGGAGGTTCCTGGCAGTCCAGGGGGAAAGCAGATGTTTCTAGAAATGTAGCCCTGACCAGTAACACAGGAGGCCCACTCAAGTCCTAAGGAGCCCAGATGTTACAGACAAGGAGCCATGTTGTTGTCCCTTCTTGGCAGCCCCCAGTAGAACCAGACCCAAAGGTCTTGGAAGAGTCCAGTCTGAGTGAGAAAGTCCGGTTTTGGCTTGGGGCTCTGAGGGTAGATCCCTCACCTGCACATCAGTGAGTCACTTGTATTTGATGCTATCTGCTCAGTTTGGCTAGGTGCTCTGAGTTGTGAGGAGAGACCTCAGGGGGGCAGAGCTCAGGATGAGGATGCAGGGGGAGATCAGGCGAGGATTGGGGGCTGACGCAAGCCTTGAAGGGAGGGGAAGCATTTGGGGAGAGAAAAGAGAAGGCTGATACTTGGAAGCAAAGGTGATGTGGAATAGGGAAAATGAGGAGGCAGATCTGGCTGGAATGGAGAATATGAGTGTTGGTTAAGATGTAATGAGTACATATGGAAGGCAATAGGGAGCTACTGCAGGTTCTTTAACAAAGGAATGGTAAGACAGAATCTCTCTTTTTTTTTTTTTTTTTTTTTTGGGTGGGACTGGAGTTTAAACTTAGGGCTTTGAATTTGCAAAGCAGGCACTCTACCACTTGAGCTACAACTCCAGTCCATTTTGCTCTGGTTATTTTGGAGATGGGGGGTCTCGTCAACTATTTGCCTGGATTGGCCTGAACTGTGATCTTCCTGGTCTCAGCCTCCCATGTAGCTAGGATTATTGATGTGAGCCACCTGCACCTGGCTGGCTTAGAATCTGTTTTATCTGACAGAGCCTGCAGGTTAAAATGTTTGGGGGTGGGGGGTGGGCCTTAGGAAGCCATCTTTTCTTTTTGCCACCATTTAGGCAACAAAACTATGAGCAAAATCTGGTGTTAGGTGTGGTTAAAGACAGAACTGAGTCAGACGTGTCTGTCCTGCTGGAGAAGGGTGTGAGAGCTGGAGGCGGGTGGGAGAAATGGAGAGGATGGGGAAGGTTCCACCCTAGAGGAGGAAGGCCCAGTTGTGGACCTACTCCGAGATCTATAATCTGAGGGTGGAGATGTGCTGCCTTGAGGAGTCTTGCTCTGTGGTGGCAGAGCTTCAGGTTGAGGGGACCCCCCCCCAGCAGCTCCCAAAACACTGGAGGGGCTTTCGGGGTGGGAGGGTGCAGAAACTAGGGCTGAGGGGGGTGTGGCTCCATGGCCAGCCCCCTCTGAGGCGATCACACCTGCAGAGACGAGGAGGAGCTGAGGCGCTCTCTGTCTGAGTTGGCCGACCCCAACCCCAAGGTCATCAAGAGGGTCAGCGGGGGCAGTGGCAGCGGCTCCAGCCCTTTCCTGGACCTGACTCCCGAGCCTGGGGCCGCCATCTACAAGCACGGGGCTCTGGTGCGAAAGGTGCACGCAGACCCTGACTGCAGGAAGAGTACGTGGCTGGGTGGGGGTCTGGGGGATGGATGGGAAGGGGCCTGCTCCAGGCCCCTGACATGCCTTCCTTCCCCTAGCTCCTCGGGGCAAGCGGGGCTGGAAGAGCTTCAACGGGATCCTCAAGGGCATGATTCTCTATCTGCAGAAGGTGCGGGCCAGGCTGAGGGGTGGGCACTGTGCTGGCTTGGGAGCAGGGAGTGGTGGCTGGGGCTGGGCCAGGCCAGGACTAGGGCAGGACAAGATGGGCACCCCTGCAGGAGGAGTACCAGCCTGGGAAGGCTCTTTCAGAGGCGGAGCTGAAGAACGCCATCAGCATCCACCATGCCCTGGCCACCCGTGCCAGTGACTACAGCAAGAGACCACATGTCTTCTACCTGCGCACTGCTGACTGGCGGGTCTTCCTTTTCCAGGCTCCGTGAGTGCCTTCCTCCAGCCCATCCCAGACCTTGCACCCCACCTCCCATCTTTATTCCTCCCCTCCTCCCTGGATTGCCTCCTTCCTTCTCAGGCCACACCTAGAACCTGGACAGGAACCTTGGGCCCGGGTCCCAAGGAAATGTACTGTCTCCCCAGGAGCCTGGAGCAGATGCAGTCTTGGATCACTCGTATAAATGTGGTGGCTGCCATGTTCTCTGCGCCCCCCTTTCCAGCTGCTGTTAGTTCCCAGAAGAAGTTCAGCCGCCCCCTGCTGCCCAGCGCTGCCACCCGCCTCTCCCAGGTAGCCCCAGCTCCCTGGGTCCACCTGGTGACAGTAGGATAGAGTGAGGTAGGCCCAGGCACTCCAGGCTGTGCTTATATTAGGTAGCTGTCCACTGTATCCATACTGGCCATGAGGAGCAAACAGAGGCTGAAATCCAGCCCCTACTCAACTGAGATGGGAACCCAAACATGGTGCTTTGCTTATCCAAGGGGGCATCATGTTAAAATTTGCACAAAGACGAGGTAAACTAATGATACTGAACAGGCTTCCCCTGGCTGCTAGGAGGAGCAGGTGCGGACCCACGAGGCCAAGCTAAAGGCCATGGCAAGCGAGTTGCGTGAGCACAGGGCCACTCAGCTGGGGAAGAAGGCCCGAGGCAAGGAGGCTGACGAACAGCGGCAGAAGGAGGCCTACCTGGAATTTGAGGTGAGCCTCCCTCCCTGGCACCTTGGTATCTCTCACAAGGCACTGGAGAGTGGGACCAAGGGCATGGCTCTTAAGAGGGCAACCAGCTGGGTGACCTTGGGCAGGTTGCTTCATGTCTCTGAGCCTTAGTTTTCTGGGGAACAAAGCTAACATTTTATACCCACCAGGGTCAGAGTGACATGCCAAGTATTCTGTGTTTCCAGCTTTGATAAAAAAGGTTCAGGAAAGATTAGCTGTTACCATAGGTAGTCCTGAGAGCCCAGAGAGAGCCACCAGCCTGCCAGGTATCATCTGGCAGAACCTGCCATCTCCTAGCCAGGCCATGGGGTGGGATGGGCCAGGGAAGGAGAGCAGGCTCTCATGGTTCCTGGCCCTCTGCCTCAGAAATCCCGCTATGGCACTTATGCAGCACTGCTCCGGTTCAAGCTGAAGGTGGCCAGCGAAGAGCTGGATGCCATAGAGGCAGCCCTGACCCAGGCTGGGAGCACGGAAGATGGACTCCCTCTGCCTCACTCCAGTCCTTCCCTGCAGCCCAACTCTGCCAGCCAGCCCCGAGCTCCACGTCATGGCTCAGAGCCTCATCCTGGGGCAGGCAGTGCCCGGCGGAAGCCCTAAGGGGGAAGTGGGAGCATGGGGGTGGTGTCTTCTGGGCACCTGCATGATGACATGGCCCTGCCTGAGCCCAGATGGTCTTGGGCCACCAATGAGGGCCTCCCAGTCCAGGGCCCGACCGCGCCGGACGCGGTGTCCGGGGCAGGGCAGGGCTGGGCATGGGTCTCAGGAGCCTAGGCTAAGGGCCTTTCCGAGACCCCCTTTTTGTGATAATGTTTTGCACTTTTCCTACAGGGTGGGTGGGGGAGGGAGGGGCCAGTGCCCTTGAACTTTTGATGCTTTTTTTTTTTTTCTTTTTTTTTTTGTCGGGGAGGCCTGATGACATTTCTGCTTTCTGCTGAGACCACCCCCACCCTGACACCAGCAACCCCCTCCAGCCTGGGACCTGGCTCAGAGACCAGGAGTTGGGGCTGAGCTGGTTTCCCTCCTTCTCCCCAAGGGCTCACTTCTCTCTAGAGGTGGAGGAAGGGCATCCACGTTGAGGCTCCATCCATAGGCTGGGGCGGCACGGCCTGCTTTCCCTCCCACAGTGGGCCCTGCCCTTTGTACAACATCCACTCCCATTAAAACTGCTCTGAATTGCCGCCTGGGCCTCCTCCTGTACTCTCCACTTGAGGGCCAGGGTTAGAAGCTGGTTCCAGGGACAAGAGTCATATTGGGGGCTGCCATAAATTAGGAGGTGGGATTTCCACTTCCCATGAGAATCCTTTATTCGCCCCAGCTGAGATGTGGGCATTAGGTGTTAAATAAGATTTGGAGTAGGTAAGGATGCTGTACAGAGGGGTCCAGGAAGAGGGCTGAAGATGGGCAGTAGCTCAGTGCACCTGAGGTTGGGGGTGCCCGTGGCAGAGCCCTCCTGGTGGCTCAGGAGGTGGACCCAGTTTTTCTGTCTCCTGCTCCACTGACTGGCTCCCATATGCACTGTCTTCTTTCACCTCTGCTGGGGAGACATAGGAAAGGAACGGGAGAGTGAAGGCCTCAAGCCTTCCACCCCTGGGCTCAGAGCCACCTTCCAGGTTGGCCCCCTTTACCTGTTGTACTGGGCAGCTTGTCTCGGGTCTCAGGACCTCTCAGCAGTCTCACTCCTTCGTCTAGACCCATGTCAGCCAGTGCATCCAGCAGACCCGCCAAGTCTCCACCAGCCAGCTGAGGAGAAGGAAGAGGCAGGAGGTCTGAGAGATGCTTAGCATGTAGGGTTGGGAAACCTGGGGCAAAGAAGCACTGGGGCTGTAAGATAGGTAAGGCAGCTGGGGCTGGGCAGGGTACAGGCCATCCCACCTTATAACTGCGCAGAAGGCTGCCACTAGGCGAGGCTGTCTTCCTGTATGTATCCACCAAACTGCGCAGCCCTAGACGCTCTGCCAGTTCTGCCCAGCTGCCCTGGGCTTCTGGTCTGTCTAGTAGCTCCTCCAGGTTCTGCAGAGCTGCTTCCCCAAGTGACAGCCCTGGTCCTGAGGAGACATATATAGACATGTCAGTTTCCTCCAGAAGTGGAAACAAAGATACCGGGATACACACCAACTTTCTCCTTGGTAACCTGACCAGACAAGGCAGACAAGTGACTGGGGCAATGGATGGGAGACAGGGATGGAGAAAGGGAGTGCCCCTGGCAGAGGTCGTGGAGGAGGAGGAGATGTCCATGAAGAGGGATCTGGGACCTGGAAATGCCTCATGCTACCTCACCTGCAGGGCTGGGCGGTGTCAGGGGAGGCTCCACGGTGTTCTGAGCAGCATTTAGCAGCAAGGTCTTCACCTGGGGAGACAGCTTTGACTACCTCCCATCCTAGTCCTTAAGCCCAGCTATCCTTAAGTCCCCCAACCCCAAGCCTAGGAGGTGCCTGGTGCCCTGGTACATCTACTGCCAGGCTGGTCGCCTCACCTTGGTGCTGTGAGTGAGGTCAAGAGGTGTGTGGCCCCGGAAGCTGCTTTGGGTGTCCCTCTCAGGCCCCTCAGAGTCTGAGTCACTCTCTGAGGTGGGAGGTGAGGGCAGTGGGCACAGGGGCTCCTCGTTCTCTGCATGAATGTCAGCACCTGGGGGTGGGAAGCAGTCAATGAGGGGGCATTAAGGGCCCACTTTAGGGACTGCAAAGTGGGGGGACTGGGAGACACCTCCTTTCCTCCCCATCCTATTCATATGCCTCTAACGGTGAGACTGACCAGCCTTTAGAAGGAGGCGGGTGAGGGTCGGGGATCCCAGTCCGGCTGCCAGGTGTAGAGGTGTGTTTCCAGCAAAGGTGCGGGCATTCACATTGGCATGGAGCTGTGGGGTGCAAGGGAGTGGATAACCCCAGCATGCTCTTCTTTATTCTAGCCCCCGCTCCCAAATCCTTGGCCCACCCTTTCCACAACCCCTATCCCTACCTTGGTGACCAGATGGGTGACCAACCCCAGCTCCTCCATCTCTGTGGCTAGATGCAGGGCTGTTCGGCCCCCCTGCCGTTCTGCAGCCTCCACTTCAGCCCCACTGTCCACCAGCAAATCCAGGCACTCAGGGCTTCGAGCACGAACTGCCAGGTGGACTGGGTATAGTCCTAGGGATACATACAGCACATTCAGTCTACAGCTATAACCCCAAGTTGGCCCCTAGACCAGCCCTGACCTTTCAACCTCAACAGTTCATGTCCACTCACCAGACACCCTCTAGGGTCTCCACCCCTGGCCTAGAGGAGGTAGGGAATTTACCCTCAAAGTCAGGCATGTGCAACATTTGGGTCACAGCAGAAGCTCCACTGCACAGTAGGGCACGCAACAGGTCTTGAGCTCCAGCACCTGCCCGCAGCGCCAGGTGCATGGCTGAGTCTCCATGTCGATCCAGCAGTGCGGGGTCTGCACCCACCTGTAGCAGGAAGCTCACCACCCTTGTCTGCCCAGTGATCACTGCCAGGTGCAGAGGTGTCTGGGGAAGATGGTAGGATGAACCAGGCGTACCCCAGCTTAGGACTCCCTCCCAATCCTTTCCCCCTCACTACTGGCTGCCCCTCACCTGGTGCAGGTGGTTGGTGAGGTTGGCGACACCAAGGTACTGGGCATGGTAGATGACATGGACTATCTGCTCAATGACACTGGTCTGCCCATGGATGATGGCCAGGTGCAGTGGCCTGTGGGGTGGGGAATGAGACTGGTCTAGTAAGCCCAGCCATCCTCAAAACCCCACTACCTCAGTTTCCCCTCACTGCAGCCTGTTGGTCCTAAAATGTCTCCAAGGGCATTGCTGTACCAGAACCTAATCCTTCCGTGCACCTTTTAAGGTAGTTGCTATTGTGCCCCTTTCAACAGTCGACAAGCCTGAAGTTTGGAGAGATTAAGTATCTTGAAAAGAACTAGAAAATAGCGATGTCAGACTTGCTACCTGGTTATCCAACTCCACATCCCTTGCCTGCCCAACCCCTCAGCCTTGTATGAAGCGCTGTGGGACCCCCAGCCCTAGCAAAGCTGTCTCCACCCGCCCACCGCCTACGTGTCTCCGTTCTCGTCCTGCGCCGTCAGCAGGTGGCGCTGTCCCGCCAACAGCGCGCGCGCATCCGCTGTGACGCCGTAGTCAAGCAAGGCTCGGGCGCTGCGCTGCGCCAGGCCGAACAGGCGCGCGTTGTACTCTTGAGCTGGAGGCGAAACAGGGTGTGGGTGCGGGGTAGGTTCCTGGTCCGGCGTCCCGCCCACGCGCATTCCGGGGGCCGTACCTTGCTGCAACGCGTCTGGGGCCTGTGGCTCACTTTGGGGGTTCCCGGGAGGCGCGCTCGGCTCCGATGCTTCCTCTCCAGCATCCACGCCTGGCGCCTCGGCTGCCATCTGCGCCCCACCCCCGCCGCCCGGATAGCAGCCCATTGGGGCCGTGCCGGACTGGTAGGGGCTGTAGGCCAAGGGGGGGAAAAAGCCGAGGCTGCCACCTGTAGGTATGGGCAGGGCTGTGGGGAGCGGACACCAGCCAGGACTCTCCCAGATTTCTCCCCCAACTTCTCTTCCCATTACCCTTACATCCTCCTCCACCCATCTTCCAGCCATCCACACCCCCTCACCTCCTCCAGCTCCTCCAAAACCCCCAGCCGAGCCCCCAGAGCCTCCTCCCATGTGGGAGCCACCCCCGAAGTGCTGGGAGAAGGTGGGCAAGACCTTCCTCCGCTTCCGCTGCACCTCCTCCTTGTCTGGGGGCAGAGGAAAGGGATGTTAAAATCCCATTTCATGTATCTTGCCTGAGGTGCTCTTCTTGCAGCCTTCAAGCTGGCTCCAAGAAGTCACTACCACTACCCTGGGCACCTCCAGCCCCTCCTTCCCACGCCTCCCCGCCCCTTCTCAACCCGGTCCCACCTTCCACCAGAGGGTAATAGGTGAACTGTTTGGAGTCAGAGACATCCCCACCACGCTTGCGTTTCAGTTGCAGGAACACGGTTACAGGACGCTCAATCTTCATCTTGTGATAGGGGGGTGTGCGGAACACAATGGCATACTAGCGGGTGAGGGAGTGATAAGGTGTCAGTGAGGCCTTTGCCTAGTCCAGCCCCCAGCCTGGACCCTGGTCCCTGAGTACCTGTTTATGAACATCTGTGGGAGAGAAGTCCCCAAAGGCCTGCCATCCATTCTCATCATCCTCATAGAAGCGAACCTCAATATCGTCTACAGGCAAGAGTGAAGCTTGGTCACAGCTCCTGGTGGAATCTCCAGGTCCATTTATTCTAGAGCTGCCTTGGCCCCTAGTCTTACACTCAGCATCCCTCCTTTCCAGCCTGGGCTCCAGCCTCACCTTTCTGCACCTTGTCACAAAGCAGATAAACTTCATCTCCACCTCGCACAGAGCCCGCTGTCTTGTCCATTCGGGAAATCTTTAGGTTTGAGGCCCCTGGAGACTCTTGGGTGGGAGATGGTACAAGGTTGATCAGATGAAACAATGGCATGGCATATGGATGGAGTTGGGGGCTCTGTGGTCATTCATTTATCAACAACTTAAGGAAGTGCAGGAAGCACTAGTATCTCAATTACCAAAGACAGAAGCAGTACTCAGACTGCTTCAGACCACTCAACTCATGTGTGCTAAGGCCAGGTTCAAATCCAGCCCTATCTGACCACAGCTTGAGAGTGCCTCTCATCCTCCCTCTGCTACTTACCCCTATCCCCCTGGGCTGCTTAGGATACTCACTGCTGTCATGGATGGGCTGGGAGATAACAGGCTTCAGGGGCAGGGAAAAGGAACCATCACTGGCTCGAAGGAAAGCAGAGAAGCGCAGCCGCACAATACTCAGATCCATTACTTTCTTCAGTTCTTTGGCCTCCTGTTCCAGCTCTCGTCGCTCAGCCTCTGAGTGGTGAGCACATGTGCAGTCCTGGGCTCCTCCTCCATGCTCCTTCCATGAGCACCTCCCATGACTCTCCATGCCCCCATACCTGTAAGGCCCTGGGGCCTGGAGCGAAGCCGCTGTCTTTGAAGTTTTTGTATCATAATCTCCATCATGTTCTTCTTGGTCACATGCAGAACACCCAGGTTATTAAATCTGAGGAGGGGGACGGAATCAGCAGCCTTTACCCTGCAGCTTGTCTCCTGAGACAAACACCCCACTGCCAAGCTCAACCCAGTCCTATCCTGCAAGGAAGCTATTCTAGTTTATACTAAGGGCCAAACTAAATGTCTCCCCTTTATTAGATGCTAAGCATACAAATGGATGGGCTTAGGACTGGCAGGTAATGAGGGGGCATCCCAGTTGGGGAAAGGGCTAGGGGACACCTACTGGGCAGTCATGTCCTTGGGCCCCACAGACACGGCGCAGACCCCTAGCTCCGAACATTGCTTTCCCACCAGGCTGTGGGCATGAGCACGAGGTGGGTCGCTGTGTGTTACCAGGTCCACTTCGATCTTGGCTGGTCCCTCGTAGTTACAGATCTGAGAGGGGCAAGGGGTTGTCAGCAGTGCCCCTGAACACACTATCCCTTAACCTACCTTCCAGCCCCATTCTGGCTCACCTTGACAGTGGGATAGGTCTTCCGGCCCTTCTCACTGGAGGCACCTGGCAGGCCTCCATGGGAGGGGCCTTCACAGCCATATCGAAATCGGAAGCCTCGCTGAAAATGGAATGGCACAGTGACATTGTGATCAGGAGAGCACCCCAGCAGCCGCACCCCTAGCCAGCAGTGACTACAATGACCAATAGTGTCTGCCCTGAACCACCACCACTCCACTATGATCAACAGCCCACAACTATCCAATCCAGTAGCTGTCCCCATGGCCACCCAGCTACAACTACCCCACTTGCCCCCAAAGCTGAAGCCATTTCACACCATCCCTTTTGCTCACTCACCTGCTTAGGCTGCTCTACAATCACCAGGTAGGGGCCATCAGCTAGAGACAGAGGGAGTTTTACTGAGCCAGACTCTCTGAGCCCATCCTCTGGGCAGAGGGTATATGCTTGCGCTTCTCCTCCAAGACAAGGTGAGGTTAGGGGACTTACCTGTGTCTGGGGCTGGATCCTTGGACTCCACAATGGAGGGGTTGAATTTGAAGTCATCATATTCAGTGATGCCGTCCAGACCCTGGTTTGGAGACAGGTTGGAGGAGGCAGCTGATATGAGCCACCCCAGAGCCCTCCACCTCCCAACTCCAAGTCCTCAGTAGTCACTCCTTAGGCCCACAAGAAAGCTCCTTTCAAAAGCAGTTTGCGTACAGGACAGACCGACAGGCAGGCTGAGATAATTCTGAGTACATAACAGGAGTAAGAGTGCAGAGGGGGCTCCGGCAGACAGACACAAGGGGCACCGGCCACCTTCAGGGTCAGGCAGCGTGACTCACTGGGTTGTAGCAACTGTCCATGTCTCTGGGCTAGGCCCGGCTCTGTCTGGTGTCTTCAGCCCTGATTCGACTTCTTAGCGTTTTAGGCGCCCGCCTAAGGTGTGTGGGGGAGGAGTGGCGGGGCGGGGGGGGGAACAGATCAGGACAAGGGTGGGGGACAGAGGGGGACCCAGGTTTGAGAGAGGGTCCGATCTCCTCTGGCTGCCCGTCCGGGTGTGGCGGGTAAGATCCGGTGGAGGTCGAAATCCGGAGCTGGGCTAGGCCCGGGAAGGGGCAGAAAGTTAGAACAGTTTAGGAAAGTCCCGAAAATACCAGGGGGAGGCGGGGCCGGAGGGGGCGGGCCTGGAAATGACGCCTTGTCCCCGCCCCCGCGGCGGGAGGGGTGGGAGACTCTCGTCGGCCTGCGGGTGCCTGCTGCCGTCTGTTCTCTGGCAGAGGAGCTTCCAGAACCAGGGAAGACCCTGTGGGGAGGGTTGGTACCCCTTCTCCCTTCCGGGCTGGTGCCAAGGAGGGAGGGCCTTTCACGGCCGGGGAGGCTCACAGGCCAGGCCAGGTCGGCCACTCACCCCCCTCCTCTACCCCGGCCTGGAGCAAATTTGGGATTTTCTGCCAGGAGGGAGGCCACGGCTGATTCACCCCTGGGGCTTTTGGGGGGACATTCCTGCTTTCGGACGGCCTCCTTTTCGAATGGCCTGTAGGCGGGGGCTCTTCCCAGTGGGGCCCCAGGGGTTCTGCCCCGAGAACGTGACTCTAGGCCGCGGGTGGGGGGGGTACGGGAAAGGCGTCTCCTCCTTGGGATAGGCTCTTCTCTCTCTCCCCAAACATCTTAGCTGCTCGTATTCCCACGCTGCACCTGTTCCGGCCCCTGCACGCCCCGGACCCCAGTCCCACGACCGTGTGTAATACGCGTGTCTCTCATCACAGGTACGCGAGTGTTCCAGCCCTAGTGTTTGGGAGCATGTGTGTGCAAGGTGTCAACGTACGTGTGCAAGTGAGCATTTGTCTACACAGGTGAGTCCTTAAGCTTCGCAGTGTGGGTACTTGTCGATGCACAGCCGGATGCGTAAGGACACGGTAAAGCGTATTTTGGAGTTTGTGCGTGGAGTATGTCCTGGCAGTGGTGTACAGGTGAGCACGTCGGCCTGTTGCATGTGTGTGCGTGTTCGGTTACTTGGAACGCTGTTGTGCACACGCCGGCGTAAGTGCAGGTGTACATACCAGTCCGCGTGTCTTTGAACAAAGATGTCGACGTGTACCAGTGTGTCTTATTGGTGTGCGGGCTGTCTGGATGTGTGCGTCTGCAGTTCTCCAGCCCCTGGTTCAGTCACCTAACCTCCCTTAGTGTCCCGGCCACCCAGGGGTCTGAACTCGGCCACTCACCGTGGCGGCGACTCCGGTTCCGGCTTCTTTCCGGACCCGACTCTCCTCGGACGGGTCGAGACACCTCTTCAGCTATCAAGACTTCAGCCGGGAAAGCCCCTTTTCGGCCCCCGGGTGGGGGGAATTCCCGTGACGTCTCCGTGCGTCACTCCCCATTCCCTTTTTCATTGGCTAAAAGTTTAACTCCGGGACTTGCGTAGCCAACCGGGAGCGACGCAACCGCGCCCCTTAGAGGAGAAAGGTTTGCACTGGGCCGGCAGCGGGAATGAGGTTCCACCCAGCGGGAGCTCTGTCCGCTGGACCCGCCCGAGGGGAGGGGACCACTGGCAGAGTCCCGAGCCCCAAGCCCCACTCCTAGCCGAGAGCCCCGGCCCCGGTCTCTTCACCCGCCCAGGCTTGTCCTTCCGGGTGGGAGCCCTCGCTGCTGTTCGGCTTTTGCTGCGACTAGTGCTTGGCTACCTCTGAAGCTGGGGAACCCCAGGGGGCAGCCTGCAGGACCCAGCCGAGCCCCACTGCTCGGAAGTTAGGGGAAGAGGAAGGAAGTTGATCTTGCGTTCAGTCCCAGATCGCCATCTGGCGGACTCTCTGAAGCCACAGGAAGACTCCGTACTGGCCCTTGGGGTCCCCTCGTCTCCTGCTTAGTCTAAAGGCATCTGGAAGAGACCATCTATTACAACAGTGTAAGCGGTAGGTTCACAGCTCATCAGGTTTTCAGGCTGACCTGAGTTCTACGGTGGGGAAGGAAAAGGTGTTGCCTAGGAGACGCATTCATCCACCAGGAACATCTGGAACATTAGAACTGAAAAGGCGTCCAAGTCTAAATAAACTCTTGCCAGTGTAGAAAATCGCCTCATGACTGTGGGTGTAACTCACTGGTAGAGTGTGTGCTTTGCCTGTTGGAGTTCCTGCGATTTATCCCCGGAACTACAAGAAGACAGCAAGAAAAACCCCAAACAAAACACCTGAAAATCGCCTCTTCCCAACTTCCATTTGAGCTCTTCTAGTGGCAACAAGGTCAGGATAGGAATTCAGCAAGCATTAACTCCGTGGCTGGACCTCTCTTGGTTGGTAGAGTTTCTCTTTAGGAGGTGCACAAGTGACCTCCATTTCTGGAGTCCTCCTCGCTTAGACTTGTGGTGGAACACAGGCTATTTCAGTCTCTCCTGCAACTTGCCCCAGGCCTTTTTTAGAACACAATTACACGGCTGGAGGTCCAGTGGCAGAGCATCTGCCTAGCAAGCATTGAGTACTGAGTTCATGAGTTTAAACCCTAATACCACCAACCAAAAAAAAAAAAGTAAATACAGGTTGAGTATGCCTTAACCGAGACCAGAAATGTTTCAGATGTTGAAAAATTTTTGAATTTTAGAGTATTTTTGTAGACTATATGAAAATCTGAAATGCTCCAAAATCTGAAATTCCATGGATTTTTGTTTAGGGGTGCTCATTTGTGTTACCTTTACAATTATTGGCAAAGAAGTTAAGGCTCAGAGAGGATTAACATAGCCAGACATATAGCTAGAAAGGGACAGAGCCAAGATTCATATTCAGTCTCTTGATTCTAGGATGACGCTCTTTCCCCTAATACTGTATAAAACAAAGCAGGCCTTTCCACTTTTTGGTGGATCTCTCCAGTAAATATCATGAGATGCTGCCAATCAATGATTTGCTAAAATCTAGACATTTTGTGTACTGTTTCTCTGGTAAATCAATTTTTGTGTGCATGTGATACTAGGGTTTGAACTCAGGGCCTACACCTTAAGCCACTCTACCAGTCTTTTTTTGTGAAGGGTTTTTTCAAGATTGAGTCTCATGATCTCTTTGTCTGAGCGGGCTTTGAACCGAGATCCTCCTGATTTCTGCCTCTTGAGTAGCTAGGATTACAGATGTGAGCCACTGGGACTTGGCGGTAAATCAGATTCTGAACCCTGAAGTTAAATGGAATAAGATTAGTCTGGAATATTTCAATTTAGTGAACCTGTGCTAGTTGCTGCTGTTCATGGCTGTCCTTTCCAACTGCTCATAAACTGGCTTGAAACTAGCAAGATTTCTCCCAGAGTCCACAACAGCTGAGCTATTGTAGTTTCAAGTTTCTGAACTGTAATTTATCTGAAGATTGAAATCTCTTATCATAAAAAATTTCAAATATATAAAGTGTGTCTGCCCCAACAATTCCCAGCACATGGCAGCGTGGAGCTTTCAGCTAATTCTAAATATTGATTGTCAGTTGCTATAGCCACATCTGTCTGGGATTAAGAAACTTCTTCATTAGCTGGACACCAGTGGTTCATGCCTGTAATCCTAGCTACTCCAGAGGCAGAGATCAGGAGAAGGACCACAGTGGGAAGCAAGCTGGGGCAAATAGTTCATGAGACCTTATCTCAAAAATACCCAATATAAGACAGGGCTGGCGGAGTGACTCAAATGGTAGAGCTCCAGCCTAGCAAGCATGAGTACCTGAGTTCAAACCCCAGTACCTCCCCAAAAAAAGAAACTTTTTTTTCCAACTGATGTTTTGGTTTTTTTTTTGGTGGTCGGGGGGAGGTAGACAACAAGAAACTGCAAAATATGGAATGCTTCATGAATTTGCATGTCATCCTTGCACAGGGGCCTTGCTAATCTTCTCTGTATCGTTCCAATTTTAGTATATATGCTGCCGAAGCAAGCACTTTCCCACTGATTTTTAACTTAAATACAATCTTTGCTTCTATACCCAGCCATAGCATGATGCTGGGGCCAGAGAGTATACACCAAAAATTTTTTCTGTTCATTCACCAATAGAGGGCCTTAGCCCAGCACCTATGGCTCATGCCTGTAATCCTAGCTAGGATTGTGGTTCAAAGCCGTCCCAGGCAATTAATTTGAGAGACCCTGTCTCAAAAATACTCAACACAAAACAGGGCTGGTAGAGTGGCTCAGGTAGTAGGGCACCTGCTTATCAAGAGTGAGGCCCTGAGTTCAAACCCCAATACCACAAAAATAAATAAATAAATAAATAAATAAATAAATAAACAAAGAGGGCCTATTTTGGAAAACTATCTGCTTGCTGGCAAAAGTTAAGCAATCATATGTTAATTGGTAATAAGTGCTTCTGAAAAAAATTAAGTAGCATGACAAGGGTTTTCTAGCTCTCAGTCAAGGAAAGACCTCACCAAAGAGGTAACATTTGAACGTGACTTGAAAGAAGTGAGGGTGAGGTCACGCGTCCTATCTGGGGGAAGAGTATTTCAGGTAGGGGATGAGCATGAGGAGGTCCCATGAGTGTGTTTGGCGTACTTGAGGAACAGCAAGGTTAGGTAGGTGAAATAAAGAAGAACTTTGAGGTTAGGGATATAGCTCAGAGGTAGAGAGCCTGTACAGCATGCATGAGATCCTGGGTTTGATTCCCAGCACTGAGGTGGCAGAGGGGTGAGGGGTAGGGAACAAGAACTCTGGATTTTCTTCTGAACAAGATGGAAAGTATTGTAGGGGTTTGGACAGTAGAACTCAAATAGCATGATGGTTTTAAAAGGGTTCATAGTGTAGGGAACAAAGGTGAAGGAGGGAGACCGGCAGTCCTATAAGTAGTGGCTTAGATTTGGGTGATAGTGGCTAAGGATGTTGGGAAGTAGTGACATTCTAGATAGAGTTATAGGTAGAAGCATCAAGATTTTCAGGGGACTGGATGCAGTATACGAGAAAAGAGGAAGTTTTTGGTGTATGACCTTGGAAGAATGGAGTTGTTCTCTAGTGATGTGGGGCAGACTGGGGAAGAAGCAGATTTGTAGGGGGTAATAAAAAAGTTGGTTTAAATTTGTTATATTTGAGATGCCTATGAGTCATACAAGTGAAGATCTAGAGGGACTGGTGGATGAGTCTGAGTTAAAGGAGAGGTCAGTTGGCCATGAAAAGTTGGAGTTGGGCATTAAGTCAGTGTAATAGGTGATATTTGAAGTTTTGCCAATGGATAACATCACCCAGTACAGAGAAAAGATTTGAGTACTGAAGGACCAAGCCCTGGGGCATTTTAATATTCAGAGATAAGGAGTCAACAAAAGGTACAGAAGAAGGCATATGGCCAGTGAGTGGAGGAGAACCAAGAAAATCCAGAAGCAGAGTGAAGAGGGGGGTGATCAATACTTGATTTCAAGCTCCTTCTCCAGGTCCAAGCAATTCTGCTTCCCCTCAGCCACACATCTTCCAACCAGGAAGCCCTGACAAAGATGAATACCCATGCTCTAATAACCATGTGTATTGTTTCTAGCATGGGGTGGGGCACATGTGGGGTGTGTGCCTATTATAGCTCATTCTGTAATTAATTCATCTTCCTATCTCATCTCATGCACAGAAAATTCACGTTCTCTCGTGTACATCTCCAGTTTTCATGGACTCCCACTAAACCCTGAGATCACAAGGTGATAGCCTGTTTCTTTGGTTGCTCACCCTTGTATTTCTCACGATAATCTAGGGAAAATCTGTTTAGTTCTGGAGGGTTTCTGCACTACCACTTTCAAATGGAAGAAAAATAGGAAAGAACATGAGGTGTAGAGTGAGCTGGACCTGGGTTTGTTTCCCAATTCCCTTATTTCTATGCCTTGGTCTCTCTGACCCGTTGCCTCATCCACAGGAGGAAAAAAAGTACTTCTAACAGGATGTTTGAGCAATATACTTAATACTGACATACACAGGCACTCTAGCAATGTTAGTTCTCCTTGTGAGGGTCTTAGGTCATGTAGCCATATCCAGCTTTCCTCTGGATTTTAAAAAATCTGTTCTCCTAGAGTTCTGGTGGGAGGCATTAAGACCAGCATTTCCTGGAGGGGTTAAATCTAATTAAGATATATTGTAAACGCTTTGGTAAATGTCACAGTGTGCTCTCAGTACCAAAATAATATGCTAATAAAAATTAAAAAAAATTAAACCCAGCTTAGAAAGTTGAAATATTTATTAAGTAAAAATAAATAAATCAAATAAGATCATACCAAAGGCAAAAATCTCAAAAGTAATAATAATAAAAAAATCAAGAAAAAAGGCAGGAGAAAGCAATAAAAGGGAGAAGAGTTAAGATACTGAAGATGTGTTTTGTTGGGGTTAAAAGACTTGCGTAATGTGTAAGTTATGTCTGTGGGGCTTAAGAATAAGTTACAGAAATGCCACACACATACATTTACTCAAAAAAATTTGTTTCTTACACATTAAGCTCTAAAAGAGAAACTCCAGCTTTTTTTTTTTTTGCAGTACTGGAGTTTGAACTCAGGGCCTATTCCTTAAGCACTTCACCAACCCTGCCCCACCCCACCCCACCCCTGCCTTTTTTTGTGATTTTTTTTTTTTTTTGGTGTTGCAAACTATTTGTCCAGGCTGGCTTCGAACTGCAGTACTCCTGATCTCTGCCTCCTGAATAGCTAGGCTTACAGGCATTGAGTCACAGGTGCCTGGTGAAAGTTCAGCTTCTTTAATAAAGACTAGCATTTCCCTTCAGATTGTGCTACTGCTTTCCCCAAGATCTCATCACTTCTGCTTCACCAAGTCCTTCCTCCTTGTTCATCAGAATTGAAGTATGAGCTCCTTTCATGAGCTGCCTTTGCCTTCAAAGCAACATTATCAACAACTGGAGGTGTGGCTTAAGTAGTAGAGCTTAAGTGTGAAACCCTAAGTTCAAATCCCAGTCCCACCAAAAACAAAAAAAACCAAAAAAACCCCCAAAGAAACAAAAACAAAAAGAAAACCCTACATGTATCAACTCTTTTATAATAGACTGAGATATCTGGTGAATGTTTTTCTTTGCTTTCCAGCAGGGAGTTGGATTGTATGTAGTTGCTTCAGTTTTCTTCCTAAGTTGACTAATTGAGGGGCATAGAGTTGTCATTCTTTTGTTCATAGGCTGACCTTCAGACTTTGTCTCAGCCAACACTCTTTCCCTCACAGAGAAACATGTGGAAACTTTAAAGGCAGAGCTTGTGGGTCTCAGATCGGAGAACACACTGAAGCTGAGTCAAGGGCCGGAGTCTTCAGCTAATTGTAGATTCAGACTTTTCCACACTCACCCATAGAGCCCACTGACCTTAGGTTTTTGGTTAGTGTAGAGACCAGGCATGGTCTAGGCAAGAAGAAAGGGAAGAGAGTGAAACTAGTCCAGTTTTCACCAGTTTTTTCTCAAAACAGGAAATTCCCATTTCTGAGGCACCCTTTTTGGCACCTGAGCAAGGTACTTACAGAGGTCCAAACTCCTGGCAGTGTGGAAGTACTGAGTAAAGGGAAGCAAGGGTGCTAAGGACTGTACAGACAGCTGGGCCTCAAAAGCCAAGGGTGAGTGCCCCAAGTCTCCATGAACGAGACCAGCTGGTCATATCACAGGTCCCACTTTCTACCATTATACCCAGGCAGGGCAGGCATCATTGCACAGGGAGTCAAGATGGTCTAACGACTTCTCTTGGGAAAGCTTAACATAGCATTGTTTGTTTCTGCACTGTTGGGAATGGAATTCAGGCAGTCATGCATGGTAGGTAAGTGCTTTACCACTGGGCTACATCCCCAACTCCATAGCACAGTATTTTGGATCCCCCACCCTGCCTCGGCACTGCACGGCCACACTGTCTGCCCTATGCACACTCCTGTCTTAACCCTGATGTGAAGAGCAAGAAGGGGAGAGGTCCTCCAGTCACACTGCAAAGACTGGGGTGAAAAGAGGTTGTGGGGCAGGGAAAAATTGTCCCATTGCAGTTTGAGATCAGAATGACTCGCTGGGCTCAGAAACATGATTGTAGCTGTGGGCAAGATGACCCACCTCTTCAGTTACTAGGGTTCCTTGTGCTCTCTAGCTCCAAGCCTGCCCATGTTTGTTGTGGAGCAGGTATAGAGCTACCCAAGCCCCTGGCATGCCTCTACTTGATGAGGGTGTACTGCTACGGCAGTGGTGGGATAGCAACAGTGGTGAAGAAATCTTGACCCCAGTCACTCCAGTCCTGTCATCTGGCTGGTAGCTGAGGGCCATGTATGTCAGGCCTCACTGGTGTAAGTTCAGTCTCACTTTGTCTCTGTTCAACCCAATACCCAAGCCTTGGAACATCCCAATAACATGGTACCCTGACCCATAAGCTCAAGAAGGAAACCAGAGGGATAGGCAATGATGTTGGTACTAAGACCTTTATTACATCATAAAAAGTCTACTGTCATCGTTTATTGTATGTACATGCTCCTGTGGGGCAGTTCCCCCACCCATCCCCACCTGCCCATCCTCCACAGTGCCAAGCAATTCTCCAAACCTATCAACTATTTAATAGAAGAATTGGAGGAAGTGGCCCAGGGCTGATGGGTGTGGGGTGAGAGAGGGAAACAAAGTGCAGAGTGGTTGGGTTTTGCTCTCAACACCTG